TTGATTTGGAATTACTACATTGTTAGAAGCTAAGTATGAGGTAGAATTTTGTTAAGAAGCTTTTCACAAGTTTAATTCTTCTTTTCGATCGAACGGTTATCGACGATATAATATTCGGCAATTGTACCAGAGCTCCATTTTTGGAGCTTTTGAGTATAATTTTGGTTCTAAAAGATCAAAAAAAGGACGCAATAATACATGAATAGATGTTTTGTATTTTATTTTTTGCAAAGACCGTACATTTTTTATTTTTGTAATTTAAAAAAAGCCGCTTATGAGACATTGTTTTCGGGCGTAATTGTAGATATTTTCTGAAGACATCTAGAGCATTTTCGGCTGTTTTTTTTATAATAGTAAAAATTCGTAACAACTCGACATCCTCCAGGAACCCCCACAAGTACAGTCTAGAAAAGTACAATATAACTAACATCGGAAAAAGTGAAAAACTAAACCTAATACTGACCTTCATTAAGTGCTTGTATAAAGAGGCGCAGAATTTTCTTTCGATTGAATACTCTTGATTTTATTCTTTTAGAGCCTCTTGACTGTTACTTTAAGAATGCTTTAACTTTTGGAAATCTACAACAATGGAATAAAGGAGTTGCATGATTTGGTTCAACTGAAATATTAAACTCATCTTCCAACGATATAACCAAAAACAATCAAATACAGTTTCAACAATTCAACATCGTTCACTTCTGAACTTATTTGATTACTTGTTCCCTTTTCCACTCACAGATTTTTTAACAAACCTTCCTAAACGTCTCTAGATTTTTTTGGAAACAATTCTTCCATGAACAATATTATTTTCTCGTTTATAACTGTTATAGTTATAGTTTTGTGTTTGCTGGGATGATCAGAACGAGAAAGCAAATTTCTTTTGGTGGTTGCTATAAATAGGAGACATTTCGTAGTTCACAACGAAAATTTTAGGAATATATGATTATTTAATTAAATTTAATTTAGTACTTTAAATTAAATGTCAGAGTCAGCTAATTCTGAGGGAATCTTCTGTAAGCTTGTTACATCCTGGTCAGATTCCGCGAGCCCTGATAATATAAGGTAGCAAGAACAATTCAGTCTGGTACCATTTCTTGCGGGCTGCTTCGCGGAAATTTACGTTTTCGTACACCAGTTTCTTCCTCTTCTATAATTCCGCCATGAGTTCGTTCGTTTCCCAACTGATCTGGACATCGCATATCACCCCAGAGGTGGGTGCGGTGAATGTGACTATATCCGTTTTATAAAGCGTCCCGTCTTGATGACGTATGTGGGGTTCTTCGAACACTTCCCAGCCTTGCTTCTTACAGTGCCCCACTAATTTTGAGACCACATTGTTATGACGCACGATTCTTGTGTCGTCAGTCACGTGCCACGCTTGAAGAATATGGCACGTTGTCTCCATCGTCTTACATCCGTCACTGCATCCTCGGAGGTCCACTGGGTTACTCATAATGCCAACGGATGGTAGGTTAGCTATTCGAACATGGGCCGTGCGAACCCAGTACGACTCTGACCAAGCCTTAGGGCATACTGTTAGCCAGGATCGGAATGTCGAGTCCTATACCGTGTGCTGGAGTTCATTGGAAAGTGCTCCTTTTTTAACTTCCCTCCTGAACAAACCTGAGGGATACTTGCTCTCCACCTCTTCTTGCTTCTTCATAAGCCCCTGTATTCTGGTGGTCGATAGGGCAACCTTGAGAATACTGTAATGGGTAATGGATGTGGTCATCAAGCAAGCTGAACTCTGCACTACCACCGTCCACGATGGTTACAGGCCGTTCTTGGGACGGCGATAACAAGGAGATACGGTTTTTGTCCGAAAAATCACGGGATAACTCTGGCAACACCGTCGTGCCAATATCATCCACGTCAGCATCATCACGGAGGACCGAGGAATTTAAGAAGAAGTGACGCCGTATCTTCTAACGGATGACTGGAAAAAGGGCCATTAAGGATAGTTTCCTCTACGGGTTGACGATTAATAGGGGCGTTAACATGAACTACCTCTCCGTAAGCTTTTACGCAAGGGGAGTTCGTAAGCGCTACGGCGTTATGGGGCTCTTCGGGGTTTGGCGACCCCGCGTACCTCAGCTAGCTGACAGACGCTATAAAATGCCTTAATCCAAGGTGGACCTACGTGTCGAGATATTAATGGGTGCCGGGTTAGGCAGCCTCGAACGTGGACCTCCGGGGAGTGGCGACCCTCGGTTGTATGTTACTGGGGGGAGGTATCAGGGCTCTGCCTCCTCTCTAGTGCTATCCCTTGTGCAAACCAAATTCTGTGGAGTTAACTCGTACGGCAAAGGGTCCGCGGCCCAGATCCGAGGAGGACAAGGTCCTGGATCTAAATAATCAGACGGGCTGCGTCGAGTTAGAGAATACGGACGCTAATCTACGGCGGCTATCCGCCCCTGAGTGTGAGGTGTGGGCGGAAGCAAGGCAAGGCCGAGCTTGTATCGGTATACGAAGACATGCGGAGTCAGGGACAGATGACACTACGTCTATTGTGGACCTGGGTTCGCTACCTGTCATGGGGTGCAGTAGCATGCCCATCGGGAGAGGTATATGGTTGAGGCGGCTGGCAGCGTGAATCCTGCCTCTCCCACTTTGGACAATCCATGGTGGTGGTTGATGGGCCCTTCATCGCATATTTGGAGAGCCTCCACCACGGGACGCCCACCGCGGCCTTCTTGATTGAGGCCTGTCTATCAGGGTGTAGCTCCGAACATCTGATGGCCCTGGTAGACGAATCACTTCGGGCCACGTTCGCCCGCTAATGCAGGAGAGGGAATATTTGAATAGACCATCGTTTTTCTGAAGGGTTTTAAGCTAGTGATTTTCCAGTGGGGCCATTCGCCCCACTTTCTTGCAAGGAGGAAGAATTGCACTTTCATCATGGAATTATTCTCGTTTTGGTGCTGGAGGGAGAGGGGTCATGGACAACGGTGCTTGTCTTGCTTCGCTTAGGCGAATTTATCCCTGGAATTCACCCCCGTACTTATCAGTAGTCGGTGTCACAGTTTTGGGTGGGCCACTGTACTATATCGATAGAGCCGGATCAAGGGCGTGTTCACGCAATCTCCGCATCAAGAGGACATTGGCATCGGCTTCCCGTAAGCTTTCCTGTGGGATTATTTTGTTCTGCTGTTCGCTCGTCTTGCTTCTTCACTCTTCACGTCATGTCCCCTGGAATTCAGCACGGTACGTGCAGGGAATAACACCATCACCAAGAGCAAGAGTTGTAGCAGGTTTCTTCCCAGTAGCCACCTTTTAGGGAGCAGTTCCCCAAGGAGTCCTTCAGGCCATCAGGTCAGATCGTCTGGTTTTTGCATCCTCTTTGCGCATTTGGCGAAGGTAGTTTTTTTTGCGTCGCTTATCGTGAGAATTTCACGGCGTTTTGTTAGTTGAACTTTATCACTTTATTTTAGATCTTAATTTATTTCCAATCTGTAAGTAGGTACATATGTTGACGACTGGAGCTTTTTCCAGATGTGTTTTTGGGACGACTCGAACGAAAAATGAAATAATGTGCTGCTACTTGCTATTGTCGTTTATTTAGAACTCTTCAGTTGTTACATTGCTACTATAGATGTACGGACTATAGTCGGCCGATTGTTCCGCTTTGCTAAAACTGGTTTATAAATGCAACAGACAGTGTGTTTTGTTTTTCTATTTCTCTGACTACCTTAAAAACTTGTTTTATTTTAATAAAAGGAATAACTAAAGTTTCTTTGTTTTCCAAAAAATGTGTTAAATTTGTTTGGATAATTTTAACATTTAATTGTTTGTAGTAAGTAACTCAGTACAAAAATAAAGAATAACACAATTTAGGGCAGTTTATACAATACTTTAACCAATTTTAACCACTTTTTTGGAAAATTTTTGGAAATTTTGAATTCGCTTTGCGTGTTTATTGTACCAGATATCGTGACGGCGATTTCAGAATCGTAACTAGCGGAAGATTATCTACACTTTGACACCAATTTTCGGTCGATTAAACCAAATTTAACCGGTTTTAGCAAAGCCGAACAGTCGGCCGACTATAGTCGGTACATCTCTAATTGCTAAAAATTAACAAAACTGAAACAAAATATGGGGAATAAGACGGGTTAGTCCGACCTCCCCTCAGAAAGTGGTAGAGACACACCCCAAAGAGAGCCGATCCAAAATGTACTGACGACACCGCACGGCAGAAAGTCGTGTGCTCTGACCACCTGCTTCCTTGGATGTTCGAATTGCGGTAGGGACGCAATTCGAAGATCGAAGATTCGAATTCAATAAATATCTTAATTTCTTGTATTTTTTTCCACTTTAAAATAATGATAAGCTTAGGACTTTTTTATATGTTGACATGTTGACATCTTTCGCCACCAGTTTACCCTGTTCCATAAGTTATCGTGCTCCAGAGAAGCAGCGTGGCACCCTTAAGACCACCCTAGAGTAACAAACTAATGCTTTAAAAAACACCATCAACATCCAAAACTATCCTTATACGCCTCAGTCCTGGTATGAGGACGTTATACAAGAAGTTCTTGGATGACCGAAACGTAGCAAGAATATCATCATTTTCAATATTTCTGAGCAATCATGTTCAATGTCACGGAATGATAGAATAGCTTCTGAAATGAAAGCAGCTTCAGACATTATAGAAGCTTTAGATGTTGATATAGATACCACAAATCTTCGTTTTCAGAGATTGGGGAAATGGAACAAAGATCGATGTCGTCATACTGTATATTTAATTTTCTGTAATTGGGTGCTATGCCGGTTGGAAATAAATCTATTATTATTATTACTATTAAATTCGTAGAATCAAGTTTCATCATTTGTTTAAGAAACTGGATTTGTTTGATTATATACACCCATGCACTTTAGACAAAATATAACAAATCAAAATGACCCGAAAGTTCATCATCTTACAAAATCAGCATTTATTTTCTGAATATCAAAGTTCAAATAAATATTCGCAGTTCTCGTTTCAAATAGTTGCAATTAGTTATCAGGTTAATGATAAAATTTTATTGGTGATTGTTGCCAGACAGCACCAAAATGAATCGTTTGTATAAATTTATATATACGCTTTTTCAAATTTCTGGTAAGCTTTAATTAACCTATGTTTCGTTGAAGTAAAAATGTCTTATTTTCAAGTTGTTTGTGGCTTACTCCACGAGACGCCGAACAACTTCACTGCAAGATTTCTCCGATCATCTGATACAGGGTAAGGTCATTATAACAGATATAAAATATAGTGAACCAAGAGCTATAAGGTTATATGGCCATCATAAAATCATCCCATTGTGTCGAAGTTAAGTTGTTTACAATAGAAAAGGTTTTAGGGTCGTAAATAACGAGTCCACTACAGCTCGACCGGCTCTTGCGGTTTCGTTCAGGGGCGGCTTTCACTAAATATGAAAATCCACCACTCCACTATTTCTTTGCTACCTGCAGCCGCTGAGGGTTCCGAAATAACCACTCGCTTTGAAAGCCGGCCCTGTTAAATATGAGCAAGAAATGTTTAGAAGATGATTTATTGCCAACCGGTAAGCTTAGTGCGAACCACACAAAGGGGGTATTTATTTGCGGTCAACTAATTTTATGATGGCCATATAACCTTATACCTCTTGGTTCACTATATAAAATGTAAATAATTTCAATAAGATGCCTTCTTCCGCCACATCCGAAAAATGGTAAATGGTTGGTTCGGGATGAACTTAAATGGTCACCTGATATGACATTACCTAATGGTGGATTTATAGAAGTAGTTTGCGACGACCATTACACACTTGAAGGAAATGAAAATTTCTCTAACTGTATGAATGGGACATGGTACAACGAAATTACACAGTGCTGGAGTAAATTTTAGCAATTTTTATTAACGCTTTGTAAAAAAATCGACTCTTTTTAGAAAAATGTCCCTATCTCCAAAAGACTCGTCATTTAAACATCACATGCCATAACAAAAAAGGAAAAGAAATACGGTGTTCTGAAGCTGCTGATGGAACAAAAGCAGAATTTCAGTGTGACAATTTCTACAAGTTAGAGACAAGTAAAAACATGGAAAACGTTAATAAAATGTTTTGTTCTGATGGCACATGGGAGGATGAGGTTCCAGAGTGTATTCTAGGTGTGAAGTGAAACCATTTATTTATTATCAATCAAGAACAGATTAAATTATGCTTTCAGATTGCGGCTTAAATAAATATAATGACCCCGCAATGGTGATAAATGGAACTGATGCAAAGAAATGGGCTTATCCTTGGCAGGTCGCTATTTATGATAAAAACACGAAAGATCTCATTTGTGGTGGATCACTATTAAGTGAAAACGTTGTTTTAACAGGTATCCACTTAATTTTTTACTTGCCTTTTTCAACGCGGTTTATTTCAGCTGCTCATTGCGTGTTAATAAGTGACTATAGTCTAAAGGATGATATCATACTTGTTGTTGGTAATTATTATTCGAAATATAAACATTCTGAAGATAAATCTGCTCAGGATGTTAACTCCGTACGTGAAATATATAGGTACAGTAATATAAAAACGCTACAAGTTTAATTTCAGATAAAAGAAATTTTCGTCCCTAAGCGTTATCGAGGCAGAGACCAAAACTACAAAAATGATATTGCGATTGTAGTTACCAGAGAAAAGTTTGTAATAACTGACAACGTTCGTCCTATTTGCATCGACTTGGATTCTAGGTATTTGGCAAACGCCATAAAAAAGTCCATGAACGGTTACGTAAGAACAGCAGAGACTGATTTTCTGAAGCTTGTTTATCTTCTCTAGGTAACCGGTTGGGGTTTCACTGAAGAAGATGGCAAACCTGCAACTGTGCTACAAGAATTACGAGTACAACCAGTCGATTACAGTTCATGTTTAAATACTTTATCGTTCGATTTCAAGAAATTTTTATCCAGAGATAAACTATGTGCTGGACATTTGAATAAAAGTAACACAATTAACATATTCTTGCAACATAGTTGAAAGTAAAGCATTTCAGGTATGGCGGTCTGTAAAGGAGACAGCGGTGGTGGTTTGTTCTTCAAAGATAATGGCATTTTTTACGTCAGTGGGATTGTTAGTGTTGCACCAGCATCGCTAAGAGCTCCTACAGACAGTTGCGACAGTCAACAGTATAGTCTTTATACCAATATTTCTTATCATAGTAAATTTATTGCTGAAAAACTTATTAGTGTAAAAGAGTACGTACTGCTGACGAGTGTAGATTCAATTACTAATATATCCCTCAGCAGCACTCCAGAGTTAGAAAAATGTGTTTTACCTAAACATCCTGACTTGGGTTACTGGTCAGCAAATAGCACTTTCGAAGATGACGAACTTTCACCAGGACACTCAGTCAAATCTGGAACATTATTAAAAATAACTTGTCGTGGATGGTATGTTCTGAAGGGTTCAAAATATATTATTTGCCAAAATGGTTCTTGGGATTCTACTCTAGGAAAATGTTTAGGTATAACTAATTCACGTTATTAAAACAAAACAATTCTCTGTTTCTTCTTCCAGAAACTTGCCCCCGTGTTCGCAACACTACAAGTATGAAAGTTAAGTACACCTACCCAGATGATTTGACTTCTAACGATGATTATAACACTGTGGTTGATGGAACCCTGGCACAGTTTGAGTGTTCTCCATTCTATGAAGACTTTTCCTTGAAGAAAAATCCTTTTCGTATTTGTGTGAATGGTAAGTGGGATCTGCCACTACCGGAATGTTATCCAGGTTGTTAATTTGGGTTCTGTTTTAAACATAGTCATAATTGCCATATTTGTAGTCTGCGGAATATCAGATGAAATTTTGAACAAACCAAAATCATTCCCGTGGCACGTTGCAATTTATACCAGTATCGAAAAAAAATTAATTTGTAGTGGATCTCTTATTAACGAAAGAGTTGTAGTAACAGGTATTTAATTTTTTGTTTGTTTTCCTTTTTATAATTAGACCCTGTAGCTGCCTCCTGTGTTAGGGATGACTTACATAACTTAAAGCCCAAAGATAGTTTTATAGTAACTGTTGGTGGACGATACCGACCTTTTAATGATTTTCGTGATTCTGAACATATTCAGATTTCAGAAGTAAGACGCAGTATTACAACAGTTTACGCCTAAACCCATTGTTAAACTTTAACTTCCAGATTACTTCTATTAGACTTGAATCAAATGACATCTATGGTAATTCGCACGTAGCTGTTATAGTTACAAAGAAAACCCTTACCCTCGCAAACGAAGTTCTTCCTGTTTGTTTAGACAAACCTATGGTGACTGATGGACTTTCAAACAACAAACATCTCTATGTGAGGAGCATTTTTTTAAGGAAATTTCTGTATTAATTTGACATGTTTCAGATAAGCGGATGGAGATACAATATTGAAAATACCAAACATCCCGATCTATTCAAAACAATCGAAATTCCAGAAGATTCTATAACAAGTTATGAAAAACTAATTGAATATAATAACTGCAGCATCTCTTTATTTAAGAATAAAATATGCACCGGATATGTTGACAACAGTAAGTGCGCTTTTTGTTTATCCAGAACGGATACCTCTTTTAATTATGTTCTAGATTCTACGATTTGGTACGATAACAATGGTGCTGGATTGGTAACTCAACTTGGACAAAGATATTATTTAGGTGGAATCCAGACGTTTCAAAACTTTTCTAAATCAGTAGAGGCTTGTGATATACAAGAATGTGGTATTTACACAAAAATGTCGCCTTATCTGCTAACCTTCATTTTAAAAAATGAAGCGGAATTTAGACCACCTTGGCGAAGCTGAAACTTTATTAATTACAAACTTGGAATAAAAAGGCGTACATTGGACTATGATTAATAAAATATATAAAATCATTGTTTTCCTTGTATTTTTTTTTATTGACCCGGCAGTACCTATATTTAACAAGGTCGATACATTTCAAAGAAAAAAGTGTTAACGGAATATCAATCAGGGGGATGGTAAAACGTTAACATTTTTGTATGTATAATTGAAAGTACATCCTTAAACAGTGTGCATGTGACGTCATAACAATACGCAACCGATTCGGAACCTGGGCCCTGATGCTTAATAAAAAATTTTGGTAGATCATAGAAGGTTTTGATTTATTACTTTGACCTGTTATTTTTGGCAGCTTAATTTTAATTTAATCATTAAATATACTACGTACGGTGAGAGATTGAGTAACAGAAATGTCACTAAACATCTACGTGAAGAAAAGTGTACTATCCGCGCGAAATTTGAAATTTCAAAATGAATCTAATCTCAAGCGCTATGAAAAATAAGTTCTACGTTACTCGAGAATTTTTGTAGTGAATTTCGTTTAGGAGCCGTAACATTACGATACGAAAATGAATTCCATCGAGTTGATGTTTTTTGCTACAAAAATGTCTCTTAATAACAGAAAACGATGTCTATTATGATTATAGCTTTGTATTCATCTGAAAATTATTTGAAATATCTCCCAGAACCGTTGCCAAGTTGCCGTTGATTGTAGTTGTTGGAAATTCCATATCCAATCATCTTTAGCAGGTACCTGGGGTTGTGAGAGGTGGGGGTGTGTCCCACCCACCCCATTTAGTCGGTACCGGTACACACAATTTTGTAACAAGAGTTCTGGAATAAATCCCAAGTAAAACGGTCGCAATGTTCACTTTTGGTCCTTCGAATCAATTCTAAATAATCACAAACAGTAGTTGATGGTCAACTTTTGCCGTATTTAAAGGGGTTGTAGAAAAAAAAGTGGAGGATTACTTTTTTCTTGTTGTCGAAATAAGTCTACACATATTAAGAAAAAAAAAGGCAAAATGTAGCCCCGCCCACCCGCCCTATCTCAATTGTATGATTTTTTTTTATTTATCGTGTACCAAGAAGGCGGAGCTTAATTGCAAAATCCTTATATCTCTTACAGTCTGCCTTTTTGTTTCAATATATGTAGACTTATTTTCACAACATGAAACTTAAAACATGTTTAAAATGGAAAATTTGAATAAAGAGATATCTATTTTGCAATTAGGCTCCGACCCATAATTATTGCAAAATCCATATTTCCTTGCAAGAATGTACCATTTTAACCATGTTCTAATTTTTTTGTTGTGAAAATATGGCTATGTATATTAAAAAAATGGCAAAATATAAGCCCCACCCACCCGCCGTATCTCAATTCTGATAATTTTTTTTATTCGTCGTAAACCGAGAGGCGGAGGTTAATTGTAAAATCCTCACTTTTCTATCAGAAGTTATCATGTAAAATTGTTCTTAAGTAATCGTGTTATACAAAGAAAACTAAGACCCGGTTTATAGAAAGCGAAATTAAAGTTAATTCGCAATTAACTTTTAATTAAGATCTGTTCGTAGGCAACAAACGTGCAAATCACGGGCTTATATTCCTCATCTTAATCCTGTGCTAAATTAATCGAGGATTAAATATTTAATTCGCTTTTCTATAAACCGACCCTAGATGTATTCATTAAAAAAGAAAACCAACAGAGGAGCCCCACCCATCTGTCTCGATCTTAGTCGTTATGAATTTTTCATTGGTTGTCAGACCGAGGGGCGGAGCGTAATTGCAAAATCGATATTTCCCTGTACAAATTTACCATTTTAAACATGTTTTGAGTGTTTTGTTGTGAAAAGATGACTACACATATTAAGAAAAAAAGGCAACCTCAATAATGGAACTTCAGTAGTTTTACATTTGTAACAAAGACAGCGATAACGTAGGAATTTCAGCGCATTTTGTAGTGCACCAAAGATACAAAAGAAATAAAGACAAAGCAGCAAGAACATGCAGAGAGTATGAGATTAATAACACCGGAAATGAAAGAAATTAAAAACGAACAAAAGAAATATATCAGAGAAATAAATGAGCTAAAAGTAATTAATGAAAAATGCATACCAGATAAGAAATCAATTACAAAACGCCAATAAAAAAAGAGAAAAATTAGAAAGTGACAAAATGAGAAAAAATATTGTCGTGCAAGGAATGCCAATAAATATGAGTGTCCCAAAGATATTAAGAGAAGCAATAGGAAATTTTATTGAAAGGAAAATGGGGCTAACAGTAAAAATAAACGACCCAAAAAAACTAGGAGAGAAAACTTGTTTAGTAGAACTAGATAGAAAACATGAAAAAATCAAAGTGAACAAAAAAAAATAAGTCAGCTGAAAGAAAAAGTATATGTTAACGACGACCTAACCAAAACCGAAAGAGAAATACAGGCAAAAATTAGAAGTACGGCAAAAGAAAAAAACAGAAGGGAGGAAAAGTAAATATGGGATACCAAAAATTGATTCTGGAAAATGAGATATGGAAGTGGAACGAAGAAAAGGGATTGTTGGAAAAAATAAAAGACAATACCCCAAAAAACTAATACAAATTTATAAACCAAGATGACCCTCGGCAGACAACAGGGGAAATAAATAGGTCAAGAGAAGGAAAAAACAAAAAACAAAAAAACGCTAATGATACAAAAAAAAATATAGCAACATGGAACATCGGAGGATCCAACCAAGAAGAGAAACTAATTCAACTTGTAAAAGAAGCAAAAAAAAAATTCAGTTGATGGCACTACAATAAACAAAACAACTGGGACAAATTACTCAAGAAGTAGGAGATTACATATTCTTCAATAATGGAGGGAAGAACAGACTGGGAGAAATCGGATTCATAATAGACGAGAAACTAAGAAGTTAAGAACATCAATCATCAAAGCAATCTCAAACAGACTATGCAAACTGAGAGTAAAAGGTAAATATCAAAAAATTTCATATATCAACATTCATACACCGTCAGAAAAGAAAGAATTGGAAATAAAAGAACAGTACTACAATGAATTAGACCAAGCATACGAAAACATATCAAAATATGATTTGAAAATTATAATTGGAAATACAAACGCAAAAGTAGGCACAGAAGAGATGTTCTGGCCCACGATATGTAAGCACAGCTTACATACAACAACAAACGAAAACGGAAATATGTTAATAGATTTCGCAAAAGAAAAAAACCTTGTAATAAAAGGTACTTACAAAGCAAAAAAACATATACAAGGGTACATGGAGATTTCTAGACCTCTAAACAATAAATCAAATAGACCACGTTCTAATAGAAAAAGATCTAGAAGAATGTATTACACATGTACGCACATATATAGGCGCTGATGTAGACTTAGACCATTTTCTGGTTGGAGTTAAGATGAGACAACTAATACCCGAAAAACGAAATGGACAAAAAACCAAAAAAGAACCCAATCATCAGATTGGGAACAAGAGAAGAACAAATAGAATATGCACATAGAATTAACCAAGAACTGGGACCTATTGTACAAGACAATGTAGAACAAGCATAGAGCGTAATCAAGAACGCTGCGAATACGGTAGGAAAGAACAGCAATAAAACCATAAATAAAAAACGTAATAGATGGTTTGACGATCAATGCGGAGCAGAATTGGAGAATCGCAATGAACTAAGACTAACAATGTTAACACAAAGGACAAAAGAAACAGAGACCAGCTATCTAAAACAAAGAAAAATATGCAAAAGCAGTTATAAGAGAAAAGAAAAGAAGACACTGTGAAGACAAGCTGAAAGACATAGAAGAAAATTACAAAAATAACCTCGTCAGAAATTTATACCGAGGAACAAGGAACGAAAAAAGAGGATACTAAGCACAACCTGCCTACTACAAAGATGAGAGTGGAAAAATGATAATAGCGGACGAAGAAATTTTAGACCACTGGAGGAAATACGTCAAACGACTCTTAAACGAAGTCACTAACGCAGGAGACATCATAAATGAAAAAAGAACTGAGCCAGCAACTAGAATACAAAATGAGAGGATAGAAGACGGAGCACCAACCCTAATAGAAATCGAAAATGTCATCAAGAATTTAATAAAACAATAAGAGCCCGGGAAGTGAAATGATAAAACATGGACGGCCGCTGCTAATAAACACTATCCATAACCTACTTGAAAATATTATGGGAACAAAAAGTATTACCAGCAGAATGGAATGAAGCAATACTATATCCGATATATAAGAAAAGGGACAAAAAAATTGTCAAAACTACAGGAACATAGCACTACTAAACGTTGTATACAAAATACTAGCTACACATATCAAAAATACAGTGACAGCACAGATGGCATAATAGGTTAATATCAAAGTGAATTCAGAAGAGGCCAAAGTACTATCGAGCAAATATACTTCTTAAGAGAAATATAAGCAGAGAGCCATGAATATAACAAACCAACAATGGCTCTTTTTATAGACTTCAGACAAGCGTTTGATCGAATCAAAAGAGAGGAACTAACGCAGAAAACTACTAACAGAAGAATTTATGGTAAAAGAGGGCGTGAGACAAGGAGACCCACTATCATCACTGTTATTTAATCTATTATTGGAAAAAAATAATACAAGAAGCTGACATAAATAGATCAGGGCTAATATACCACAAAAAACGTCAGTGCCTAGAACTGCTGATGACAGTAATTGTAACTAGAAATAGAGATGAGCTGAAGAAAGTGACCAAAAGACTAGAGGCAAAGGCGAGAAAGAAAGGGCTTTACATAAACGAAGCGGAAACAAAATATATGGAATAGGCAAATAAGGAATTCGTACAAGAACGGTACCTAAGGATGACAATGGAGAACACAACAATATACCGTTTCGAACAAGTCGAAAGATTTGAATATCTAAGACCTGTCTTTACATGCAAACTATGCATGAAAGAACAGATATCCAATAGAATCATGAGAGCAAATCGTTGTGTTCAAGCGCTTAATAAATTGTCCAGGAATAAAAATATATCCGGAGGAGCCAAACTAAAAACGTACAAGACAGTTATTAGACCCATTCTCACATAGGCATCTCAGACTTGGGGAGTAACAAAAATGGAGCAGGAGATGATATTAGTCTGGGAAAGAAAAGTACTCCGGAAGATATTTGGTGGAAAAGTAGAAAATAGTCAATAGGAAAGAAGAACAAATAAAGAACTAGAAGTGTTATATGGGGAGCCCAATGTAATAGGATATGTCAAAGCACAAAGGCTGAGATGGTTAGGCCACCTAAAGAGAATGCCTCAATCGAGGATGCCCAAAATGATTTTGACAAGTACAATAGGAGGGAAAAGGAGAAAAGGAAGACCCAAGACAAGAGAGCACCGAAGTAATAAAAAATATACAAGACCTTGGTATTACCGACTGGGAAGATAGAGCAATAAACAGACGGGAGTGTAGAAGAATAGTTAATCAAGCCATGGGACTTCTAGGCTTGTAGTGCGACGATGTATATCTTTTGCTGCTCAAATATACCCAATCTTGTCCTGAACGGTCTGTAGTATTTCGTTTACTGTAATAATCAACAATACAAACTTGATACTAAGTTGGGATGTTTTGTTTGTATAGAGTTTTCAAACATAATTAATGGAAGTCAAATCTAAACTGTCAATTAAAAAAAAGGGCTGTCTGTGTTTGAATGAAGTACTTGTTGCCTCTAAAATTGAGAAAGGTGCATCAACACTTTCATTTCTGTAAAATATACCTACAACAAAATAACTCTTACCCCTTTCGGTAATCGGTAAAACAATATCTAGCTTGGAAGTACTTACTTCAAAAAAACTTTCATTTTGAGTGCAGTACACAAAATTATCTATTTTCGCCAGCCGTCTTAAAAGATGTCACTTTTAACGTCAATTTTGGACGGAAAACTTGACGTTTTTGTGAGAGTAAAAAAAAGTTGCGTTACTAAAGTAACAACGTCATTTTTGCCTTTTTAATCCTAGCATTAATTTTTTTTTTAATCCTAGCCTTAAAAAGTTAAAATTTTTTTGAGATTTACTTTTTGGCTGGCGAAAAAGTAGTATGTTTCATTCGGATTAAAAGTCAGTTTTTGACTCGCAATTTTGCATCCGCTCGGCTTCGCTTCGCTCCGCCTCGCAAATGCAAAATTTGCTCGTCGCAAAAAATGGCACTTTTAATCCTAATAAAACAATCTACTATTAGATGCAAAACGAAACATTTTTGAAGAAGATCAACACACGTTAAATCTATAAATATTCCTCATTTATTCCGATATGAGTTTTTTGCATTTTGCTTATCGTGGACTGTTAATTTTATCTTAATATGTTAAATTAGCTGGTTCTATAAGCGCAATTAAAATGACAAAGTATTAAAAGCAAACTATTTTCACATCATCAGCGCTTTATTGATTATCGACCGAGAGGTCAAACAATCATCGATAATTGCGGAACATAAATTAATCATTACAGAGACTGCAACTAAGTACAACAACAATCTTTTGACAGTTGTATTGAAACACCCTATTTCATCATGAAAGTTTTTATTTTAACACTTATTGCTATTAATTTTTGTGGTAGGTTTTCTTTAACATTTTTTAATTAGTGCCTTTATCAAAAAAAAAAAAAAATCAAAACTGTATGTTGGTTCATTGATTGTGGAGAAAGTAGCAGTTCTGTTCAAGAACAAATTTCGCAACACTATTTTCAGAAAATAATAGTTCTTGCAAATGCAGTGAAAATTTGTTCCAGGTGTTTATGGTAACTACGATGCTAGACCCATCATCATCCCCAAAAGGTTTCCTAGACAAACAGAAACCGGGTGAATACTTTTATAGGAAATGAATTTAGTTTAATAACATTTTTAGATGTGTTCTTCCCTTTCACCCGCAATTTGGAAATTGGACAGTCTATAATTCAACATCGAGCTGGTCACCTGAAAAAATTGTACCTTCTGGTACAATTTTAGAAGTTTCTTGCGACGACAATTACCTCTTAGATGGTTTAAAGTTTATAAACTGTATTGGTAGCTCATGGCGTAACTCTATTGGCCGATGTTTAAGTAAGTTCAACAAAGTAATTTCTTTTTCGTTCGACATGTAAATGTTTTTCCCAGAAAAATGTCCACCACCGAACATCACTGAATTCCTGACGGTGAGATGTTTGGATAGTAATAAAAACAATATAGATTGCAGCGAAGCTGTTGAAAATTCCACAGCAGAATACGTGTGTCAAGATTTTTACGAAATTGAACATCTGAATACAATTAATAATAATAATATTACATCTAACATTTGCGTTGATGGGAAATGGACTAAGCGAACTCCGAAATGCGTTCCTGGTTAATCTTGATATCTTTGAAAAACACTAAATAATGACTGTTTTTAGAATGTGGAAAAAATAGATTTGGTAAATCTACATCTAGGCTGGATACGTCTGTGGTACGTCAAGAAGACTATCCTTGGCAGGTGGCTATTTATAATGGCACTAACAGAAAAGAACTCATTTGTGGTGGATCGTTGTTAAGTCAAAGAGTTGTCCTAACAGGTCTATATTCTATGTAGTTAGTATTGGTTTAATGACAAACATTTGTTGTAGCGGCGTACTGCATATCAGATATTGATGGTAATTATTATTCCCAAGACACATATATAGTTGCTGTTGGAAAATATTACAGAATATACGACGATGAAAGAGATTTTGGCAAAGCGTCCTTCTCTGGTGTAAGTTTAAATGTATATAAACCTCATTAAATCTATTTTATATTTTAGGTTTATAGTATGCATTATCCTAATTATTATCACGGTCAAAGTCACAATTTTTATGGTGACATCGCCATTATAATAACTAAAAAACAGTTTGTGTTGTCCGCGAGAGTTCGACCTGTTTGCTTTGAAAGATCTGAAACGAAAGAGGATTACTCAACATTACTTGCTTATGTAATTTTACAATTTTTTTTTGTACTTATTAAAATTTTCTGTCTATAGGTCACTGGCTGGGGTTTCACTCATGAAGATGGTAAATTCTCCGATGAACTCAGAGCGTTAGAAGTTCCTTTAGTCAGCTACCAACAATGTTTAGAGAAACTACCAACAAGATTTCATAGATTTATCACGGACGATAAAGTCTGCGCTGGATATTTCAAGAAAAGTACCGTCATCGCACAGGCTACATTAAACACTAAAATGCTGTTTCAGGTACTTCTGTATGCAAAGGTGATGGTGGTGGCGGATTAATTTTTAAACGAAAGAATAGATATTACGTCCACGGAATCGTTAGTGTAGGACCTAGTTCACCTAGGTTTGCAATAAATCGCACAAGCTGTAATAGTCAACAGTATACTGTTTATACAAAGGTTCTCTATTATAGGAGATTTATAGAAGAAAAATTGACCTTTGCAGAAAAGTAAGAACCCTGACATTGATAGAACAGTATCTTTCATGTTTCGCTTAGGTTATCTCTAGAGGAAGTGGTTTTAAAAGATGAAAATAAGACCAAAACGTCGGTTCAGGGAAAAACTGCACAAAATTTAAAGAAATGTTCCGTACCGAAACATCCTAAATTTGCCCACTGGTCTAATGAAGATGTGAACAATGATTATAAATCAATACCTGGACAACTTGTGGAATCTGGAACACGGTTAAGAATAAACTGTAATACCCGATATCTGCTAAATGGTTCTAGTCATCTGACGTGTGAAGATGGTTCTTGGAGTTCGACTATTGGCAACTGCATAAGTAATGTTTTTTAATTTCAAGTTAAAAACGAATGCTTCTATTATGTTTTAGAGACTTGTCCACCGCTATATAACACAACAATTTTAAAAGTACAGTGCTCAAACACAGGTGATTTATATAACGAAAATTGTGTCAGTGCAACTGATGGAACGTTAGCAAAATTTCAATGTTCAGATTTTTATGAAGATGATACGCCGAATATGAATCCTATTAACCTTTGCGTGAATGGTCGATGGAATTATCAGATGCCACAATGTTCTCCGGGTAAATGTTTAATAGGAACAAAAGCAAATGATATTGTTCTCTTCTTAAATTTTAGAATGTGGTAAATTGAGATACGATAACGGAAAGGAAAACTATTTTTCGTGGCAGGCTACTATCTATACAACTAACAAGGACATAATTTGCAGTGGTTCTTTGATCAACGAAAAAGTTGTTTTAACAGGTAAATACAATTTTCTCTAAGTTGTCAATTATGTGTCAAAATTTTAGCTGCCCACTGTGTAACAGACACGATGTCGAAATTAAAACCCAAAGATACCTTTCTGGTTGTGGTTGGGAATCACTATCGATCTTTCAAATATGCCCAAGACTATCAACACAGTCAGATTTCTAGAGTAAAATTTAATAAAACTGATCGTCTGGGCGAGTCACTAACATTTAACTTTAGGTTGAAGACATATTTCTACTGGAATCTAAAAATACTAAAACGTACTCTGAAGATGTTGCAATTTTGATAGTAAAAGAAACTTTCAAATTTTCTGAAAGAGTTCAGCCTATATGTTTGAATAAGGTTCTTGATACTAAAGAAACTTTCACAGAGAAATATATGTTTGTAAGTAAAAACGCAGATAGGTGTTTGTTCTCCTTTTACAGTATAATATTTCAGATGAATGGATATGGATATAATATTGATAAGTTTGCATATCCTGACACTCTTAAAACAGTCAGAATACCTATCGATTCTCTAACGAATTGTACCGAGAAATTTGTGTCTAATAACAGTTTCTTAAATCGAAATAAATTATGTGTTGAGCACGTCAATAATAGTTGCTATATTTTAGTTTTGTTGTTACAATCAAATTAGACGCTCTTTTTAGGTTTAATGACCTGTCATGGTGACACAGGAGCAGGATTAGTTTTTCAGCGTGACGATGGACGGTTTTACCTACGTGGAATTTTATCGCTGTCACCAACTGTTCCAACTTCGGCGGGAGTTTGTAGCAGACAAGAAATATCCGTTTACACTAATATTAATACTCGCTTAATAATGAACTTTATATTAAGAAATGAAGCCAAATTTAGACCACATTATGACGAGGCGATATATTAACTAAGAGAGAAAAACTCTTGTTATTTGTTAAAATATTTCTAAATGATAATTAAATAGATATTAACAAAGGAGTCTATTTTGTGCATGATTTTTACTTCCCGAGTGTAAGCTGAGGAAGTATTGTAATCGAGCCCATCGGCCGAATGGTTGCTTTCAGTTTTTTCGATGGGTTATGACTCATGAGCCCTAGAGTATAAAAAAATTGGTCTCCCATTTCTGTCTATCAGATAATCTCCGAAACTACTGGACCGACTGTAGTCAAATTTTATGAATATCATCCCCACCAATAAAATTATAAATAGTAAATTAATTTTAAATTGTATCAAGTAACATAGTGGTACAAGTCTAGCTTATGAATCCGTGTTGAATTTTAACCACAGACATACAGATTTTTGTAAAAAAAAAATCAATACCTAATGCTCTGAAATCTTGCATATGTTTCAAAGTTATCCTAAGCATTATAAATTTTCAATCAAAATATATATTTTTATTCCTGAAAAAAACTGATGACGTCATCTCAAAATTTTGCCGAATAATTCGAAAATGTGCAAAATATGGATGACACTTGTGATTTATCATTGTATTAACATTTTTTAGCACAGGTTATACAGCGTGACTCAGACAAACTAATAAATGATTGAATAGGTTTTATTCATTAAATCACTTCATTTTCCCGAAAATTTGGAAATACAATAGGTAATGCGTTCGTATTACACTGCACTTATAATTATTGGCGTCTATACGAACACTTTCTTTCACCTGGTCGACGTTATTTTAAAAAAGGAGCAGAATATGGTCACGGTACACAGTAGCTTGTTACTTTAGTCGAACCAGCAGTAGTTAAAAGACCAAACTTATTTACAAAATACCACGACATTTAATTCTTGAAATTAAGTACTTAGAAATATGCTTTATGCACCATCGGTCAGTAATGTGATACGTTCAAACTTTTTAGATCCTTGGAGGTGAGCTACTACAAACTTTACTTTCATCTCAAAAATTGAAAGTGACACAAAAGAACAGTATTACTTTCGTCTTTGACATAGCTGGTGGACGCTAAATTTTTCAAAAGTTAATTACAATATAAATAACATCTCAAATAATTGCAATGATACAACTCTGAAATAGGGAATAGCAAACGAACACTAAATACTGTATAAAATCAAAATCATAATTCTCTGGAGAGTTATTCTTAAATGAATAGGTTGATTTAGACCAAGATTTTTATATGTAATACCATTTTGCTGGTAAAAGACACTCGTTTACACTTGTTTTTATTCCCTCATAGCATTACTAGAAGACCATAATGTAAAATTATTAAAGATTCTGGCACAGTTACAAACCAAGGAAACAAAAAATTGTTCTAAAATTATTTAGACAGAACTTGCCTTTGAAGTACAATCGAAGAAATGCAACTTCTTTTAAAAGACTAAATTTAATTTTTGGACCACCATTCTCTAGTATAATATTGATGAGTTTCTAAATTATAATATTGATATCCCTAAGTTTTATGATCAATGTTCTTTATGTTAATTTTGTGTGTATAAGCAAATGCATGGTTTTTAATTTGACAAATGTAAACACGTTGTGTGGTAATATTATAAAGATGATTATTATTATTATTATTATGGCAACGGGGATTTCCGATACCCCAAATCCAACTAGAAATTTTCCCGAAGGTCTTAATTTTATCCTTTTTTTTATTGCATCCCACAGTATTGTGGTCAAATTTGAATTTAAATATTTTAGATACAAGACCAACCGTTTTTGTAGAAAATCGGCAACCTCATTAAATCCATAAATATTTCTCATTCATTGCGATATGATTTTTTACACGTTGTTTATACTCGATTGTAAATTTCATATTTATAAGTTAAATTAGCTGATTCTATAAGCCCAATTAAAATGATAACGATATATTAAAAACAAATTGTTTTACATCATCAGCGCTTTATTGAATATTGACGGAAAAGGTCGAATAGTCATCAATAAATTATTACATTAATTAATTGATTAATTAATCATTACATAAACTGCAATTTAGCACAACAAGATTTTTTTATAATAGTGTTGAAACACTTTGATTTTATAATAAATGTTTTCTTTTTATCTGTTTCTTTTTATGATTTGATAAGTTTAATCTTTTTGTTATCACCTTTATAAACGTTTAGCTCAAGAACCCGCAAAGCGAATGGGCTTGTTTTTCAAAGAGTTAATCAGAAAATTTTACTCCGTTGTGGCTTAGTTAATAATTTTAGTCTTGTGTTTTGAGGAAGCAAACTCGTTCAAATTAAACAATTATATGCAATTCGGACATGAATCGTGACATTTTGTGGATCAAAATTAAGCACTGCAGTCACTGGACACTGGTAGCTGATAGCAATACACATTTCCGCCCATTGGTTGTCTACTTTAAATACACAGCAAAACCTGTCTTAAGGCACACCTCCAAATAGCGGACAGCTCTAAATAACGGACGTTTTCTTTAGATTCGATATTATTATATGTATAGAAAATTCCACTCAATACGATTTTTAATCCCATCAAAAAGAATCTTTTTCCTCACAACAACCAATGAAATCATTATTTTGGTGGTAAAAACCATTATTAAAAATTAAGGTGCAATTTTTGTTTTTGAAATGTCAACTGTCAGAATCATTTGTATTAAGAAAATTAATCTTTAGCATTGTAAAAAACGCAATTATACTAGATACTAGTATATCCACTAGACGAAGGAACTTGAGATGCTCCTGCTGGTCCATTTCGTAAATAATTTATTATTTTGGAATGGTATTCTTCGGTTACTGTGTTAAGAAAGTAACTACTTTGATTTTGCATTGAATTGCGTTGCGCGTTCGTTTGAATTTTCATACCAAATACCACTCGTGGTCCTACGAATCGCTGACAGTTTTTCCTCACTGTCCTCCACTCATGGTTTTAGAATTCCTAGCACACGTCGTTATTGTGGTTTCAAAAACTGCTCGTTCTGACAACTCAAAAAAATTGTCAGTCAGCAATTACAGGACCAATTGTGATATTACAGATGAAAATACAATCTTTTTAACGGACCTTGCCATAAGCTCACATATTGACAGTGAAATTTGAACAATATCCGAAAATTATAAAGATATTTACCTCTGCAAAATGTACAACAAAATGGTTGCAAAATGATATGATCAAGGAGGTTATGCTAAAAGAAGTGCTGGTCAATTTAAATAAGATCCGTCCAGCCAAACGCCATAAACAATAACCAATGGAGTTGGAACGTGATTTAATAGAGATGGGAAGTACAGTAGAAAGCGCAGACAAACCATTGGCGTAACAAAAACGTTTTAAACATGAATAGTGATAGAGACGTAACTAATTTCACTACACAGTGTCCACAAAATTAACAATCGACTAAAAGCACTTATCAAAAACTAGTCTAAATTACAGCAGAAAAAAAATGCTATTAACATTGGAAACTAAGATAACAAAACGTTGAATCAACTAGGCATGCTACTGATTTGCCACTACCTAAGTGAAGGTCAATTCAACGTTTTGACCGACGGGCTGTTTAAAAGTAGGTTGTAAATGTGAATACGATGTGAATGAATGCGTCCCAATGATGTGAATCCCCGATAGAAAACTTATTAACACGACGTAAATTTTTAACACTGTTTAAATTCTGACATTCGAAAAAACGTCCGCATTTATCTTTTCCATTAACAAACCTAATAATACATAAAAAAAGTGAACAATCATTTCTGATTCAGCACTGCAGTAAGCATCGTAGATAAAAAGGTCAATTAGATATCAACCAAAACTAGTAGCTGAATGCAGCAACTCTTCCAAATATTTATCAGTTTGCTGTTTAGATGCGTATTACATTTTAATTTAACATAAATGTATCATTTAAACAAATGCCTGTTACCGATATTTTTGATTATTTTGTCTGGTAAGCTGTTATAGTTAACAGTCAAGGGTATACCAGTGTTTATTTTAAAATCAATTTTTCGTTTGTTTCAGCAATTTTAACAAGATGCCACAAAACGTTTAACAATTTCCAAACGAGAATCCTACGGAACACAGAATCAGGGTACATATAATATATTCAGTTACTAAATCATAAATAACATATACTTAGATGTTCCCTACCAGAGCATCCTCCATTCGGGAAATGGTTCGTTATCGGTTCTTCGGAAGAATGGGTACCTCATCAGTTTTTACCCTCAGGCAGTTTTCTAATAGTATCTTGCGATGACGGTTACGTAATAGAAGGTTCCACTTTTGTGAATTGCATGAACAACAATAAATGGAGTAACGACTTTGGTAGATGTTTAAGTAGATTTGCAACATATTTTGGTTTTCGTTGTAAAAAATTTAATTTCCAGAAAAATGTCCCCCACTTCAAAGTACGCCTCACCTTAATGTTAGATGTTACGACAAAACAGAAAGAAGCATAAACTGTTCTCAAGCAACCGATGGTTCAAGTGCAGAGATTCAGTGCGATCGCTTTTACGAAGTTTCAAGTATTGAAACAGATACGACTATCGTATGTTATGGAGGTACTTGGAACAGTAAAATTCCAGAGTGTGTTTTAGGTGAGTGTTTAAATTAATCGTGCAAATTTAAAAAAAAAATATGTTCTTTTAGCTTGTGGTAAAAATAAATATTTGGACAATTCGATGATAATAGGGGGACGCGTTGCAAAAAAGGGGGCGTATCCTTGGCATGCAGCTATATTCAATATCAAAACGAGTTTACTCATTTGCGGTGGAACACTAGTACATCTGAGAGTTGTTCTAACAGGTATCTTTTTTAATCAGTTGTTTAAATATTAAAATATTACAATTAAAGCTGCCCATTGCATAACAAAGGATGGTAGTTATTCCAAGAATGACTTTCTAATTGCTGTTGAAAAGTACCACCGGCAGTTGAATCACCCTGAAGACATTGACGCTCAGTTTTCTCCTGTAAGTTTCGATAAACAAAAAAAAAGTCTTAATATTTTCTGCAGGTACAAGAAATTTTTCTTCCTGAGCGATACCATGGTGTGGATCAAATGTATAAAAACGATCTTGCAATTGTCGTTACGAAAATATCGTTCGCATTAACAGAAGCAGTTCGACCTATATGTATTGACTGGAATTCAAAATATACGAGCAAATCTCTACGACTTTCCAGAGACGGTTATGTAAAAATTTTAAACATTGTTTTTACGTTAGATGTTTTTATCACACTTTAGGTTACTGGTTGGGGGTATACAGAAGAAGACGGAAAACCTTCTGGGGTACTCAATGAATTAAGAGTGTCATTAATTGATCACTCATTATGTTTAGAACACTTCTCAGATAGATTTTCAAAGTTCACTTTGGAAGATAAGATGTGCGCTGGACATTTAAACAAAAGTAGTGGTAACCATTGAATTTTTTTAAACAAAATATCTATTTTTGTTTTAGATATGTCCGTTTGTAAAGGTGACAGCGGTGGCGGTTTAATTTTTAAATTTAACGAAAGGTTTCACATTAGTGGGGTCGTTAGTTTAGGACCAACGTCATCCAGATCCATCACAACTTATAGTTGCGATAGCCAACAATATGGTCTCTACACTAATATATCTCATCACAAAAGATTTCTTAGAGAAAAACTAGCACTGGCAGATACGTAAGTAAGTCTAAATACTCTTGTGAATTAATTTCATCTTTTTTTTAGATTAAGCACTGACGACGGAAAGAGGGCGCCAATTTCAGTTTTAACGTAAGTTAATATAAAAGAGTATAATTCTCAAAATAAAACTTTTCTTGGAGTAGCTGTTTCTTACCTGGACATCCACAGTATGGCCAATGGTCAGTTGACGATAATTATAATAATCGCGAGTTTTTACCCGGTCAGATGGTAAAATCTGGGACTCGCCTGACAATAAAATGCAAAGACCGTTACTTCCTCAACAGCACAACCTTTATCGAATGTGAAAATGGATCGTGGAGTTCCACTATTGGAAATTGTTTAAGTTAGTAGTACTGAAATTACATTGTATCAAACATGAAAAAATATTTTTTCTGTTTTAGAAACTTGTCCTTCTCTATTTAATACGACAACGGTAAATGTACGTTGTACGCCGAAAAATAAACCGACCTCAATACTTTCTTCCGAACCCTGCGTCAATGTAACAGATGGTACTCTAGCACTATTTGAGTGTGCTCCCTTTTATGAAGACTTTTCCTTGAATAGAAATCCTCTTCAGATTTGTGTGGATGGTAAATGGGACAAAGCGTCTCCAGTATGTTCTCCGGGTGAGTTAGCTAGAAGAATTAGAGCCTCTAGAACATTTTTCAAAAGTAACACAATTGTTTTTTCAGTTTGTGGAAAACCAGACGAGGATACTAACGGGCAAATCTTTTTTCCATGGCACGTGGGAATCTACAGTAGTACAAGCAAAAACCCAGTCTGCAGTGGGTCTCTAATTAACGAACGAGTTATTGTAACAGGTATGCTAATTTTCTTTTAATTTCATTGACCCACAGTAAAACTTGTAGCCGGTCATTGCGTGAAAGATGCCTCATTCAATTTAAAGTCTAGAGACGCTTTTCTGGTTAGCGTTGGTGGCCGCTATCGCACTTTGAATGATCCGCGTGATATTGAACACATTCAGACCTCTGAAGTAAATTCTATAACTGAGTTAATTTTATTTGTTTTCGAACTGTGAATTTTAGCTCGACAGTATATGGGTACCAGAATCAAATTACAAATACAACGTCGAAGGAATGTACTATCAAGATATTGCCATCTTAGTTACAAAGAGAACTTTCAAGCTGAATTCACGAGTTTCACCAGTTTGTTTAAACAAGCAGACATTGACAAATACAATGTCAAAGACACAAAGCTTACACGTATATAAGGTAAAATGTAACCCTATATGGCCTACCCAAGCTTTGAGATTTTTTTAAATTTTTGTAAGAATTTGAAATGGAAGAGTAATGGTGGGAATTGAAAGAGGATACAGTTTTGTACATAATTTTCAAATTCCAGACATTTTCAAAATTGTAAAGCCCAACACTACCCGGTTTAATTAACGTGTCTTTATGCCAAATTGAGTACATAGACACCCAATATGGCCTGTTTTAAAAAGTCGAAGAAAAAACAAAATTAAGCACCGAAAAACGTTTATTGACAGACAAATTGTTAATTTTCACAATAAGGAAAAACAAAAATATCTTTATCATTTTTAGTGAGACCTAGGCGCTCCTCGTGCACGTATTTCTTACATACGAAGCATATTCTCATATCTTTTACAATATCTTCTTGGTACATCTCGCAGAAACAAGCTTCTTGCTTCTTCGGTGAGCTTCATTTTTGTTCATAGTAATTTAAATCAGCTTATTCACAAAAAAAATCATACGAGAACTGCAGTATGTACCCAACAGGCCAACAGCCCGCCTAGGCCATACTGATCCCACATCACAAGCGAACATGTCAGTAATCCCAACTGAAAAGCTGTTAAGAAAGTACAACTAGTGCAGATCATTTAAAAACAGAAAAAAGGAGCTACATAATTATAGAAATATAAAATTGATAACTTAATTGAGATTAAAACTATTCAGAGAAAACTTACCGGTATAAAATAGAGCGTATACTGGCTCGTCAAATCACCATCACAAATAATTGCATCGTAAGTAAACGAAACCGTGTATTACTTTACTGATTGCTCCTATATGGTATAAAAACGTTCCAGAATGTATCCCAGACGCGATCTACCCCATTTTGTTTGAAACATATGAGAAACAGCCAATAGGCCATATTGAGTTCAGTTACCTTATTAAACAAACTACGTTAAATTTGTCATTCATTATTACTAATATTGACACATTTCAGACAAGTGGATGGGGATATGGTATCGAGGAAAACCACAATCCCGGGTTACTGAAAACATTTAACCTTTCTAATTCTGTATCATTCTGCTTCACGCACGAAGAGTTTCGAAATTTTAACAGATCCTTGATTTCCGACAAAATGTGTAACAGTCAAGGCGACAAAGGTACTTGTTTATACTGAAATTAAACATTAAAATTTTGGTTCAATTTTAGGTTCGATGGTTTGCTATGGTGACACTGGTGCAGGTTTTGTTGTCCAATTTAGCGATGGACAGTACTATCTAAGTGGAGTTTTATCTTTATTTCCAAATTCTTCACATACTGAAGGTGCTTGTGATAGACAAAAATTTAGCGTCTATACAATCACTTACAACTATCTGTTCGATTTTATTTTAAAGAAGGAAGCAGAATATAGGCCACAATAGAAAATAACTCCTTACTTTAATCTTTACTCAAATCAGCAGTAGTTAAGGAGAGCAAACATTTTTACAGAATGGCTCCATGTAGTGTAAATAAATATGTGTGCACACATTTACATGCTTATCATTACTGCACCATATAGATATTTTTCATCACGTTTGGTTTTTGAAAGTAGAAATATCTTTTGTTAAATGGAATTCTTCTTCTACAAGAATAAGTGTTCCTCAGAGTGAAGTTTGAAGAAAAGTGATAAGTCGTCTAGGGCTCCTAATTCACCTTAATGGAGTGATGGATATTTGCCGACAATTTTATCAAAGTTTGAGAGTTCTTAAGATAAAATATTTCGTTCACCATGAAAGATCCTGTTCTATTAGTTATGGATGACCATTGTCGTAGTATAGAAAGACTCAATTTCTATAAACATGACTGTTTTGACTGCTATCACATCCATAGTGTTTCTGAACATTATGTTTTTCCAAAAGTTTGAAACATCATTTAAAAAACTAAACACATTTATTCGTCTGCAAATTGTCTAAATTTTTATCAACACATACATTTTATATTAATCATATTGTATCATTAAGCTCGAAAAGTTTGATTTCTCTCAATCTCTGCATCAACTTTTCATTTCCATCTCAGTAAAGGTTTATAAGAGTTATTTTTTGACGACGGTAATGAACTAATAAAATTGTCGATAATATTGCGAAAAACTCTTGTTCTTGAGGACTGAAAATAATTTTTGGGAGTTATTTGCTTCAATCCATCTAATATCAACCAAAATCGTTCATACTTTATTAAAAACAGTTTTTAGTTATACTGGGATTATGGTACATATCTATTTATTTGTTGCAATATTTCTGAATGGAAGAACAGCCTTAAAAACCTGGCAATCACATTTTAGCGACATTATGGGGATACATTCACCAATCTGTTTTCACATTTTTCGTTTCCAATCTGACTCAGAACCGTAAAGATACACTCGTGGATCAAAATGGAATATTTTTAAATTTCCAAAAATGTTCCACAAATGTTCGATGGCCAATCCAATCATTTCTTTTATTATCACCTTTCTGTAATAAACCTATAAATAATTCCTCATCATTTTTACCTATGTTATTAATGCTTTTATTTCGACAAAACTTAGTGAAAAGATTGTATTGTCCACAGTTTCTGCATTTCTTTCCAAAAGCTTTACAATCACATGGTGAATGAAAATGACCGCATTTATTACAATTAAATTTGTCATTTTTTGGAAGTCACGCTTATCTTTTGACGCTGTTGATGATGATTGGTACCGGTATTCTGTGTTCTTCTCTCTCTTACTTCCGCTGCGCTGCTGTCTGCACCTCTCTCTTCCTTCCTTGGGTTCACGTGTTGGTTCGCCTCTCGCTGATTGGTTCTTCTCACTCTTACGACTTCATCTTCCTTCTCGTTCTCACTCATTCGACTGGTTCCCGCACTTATAGCTTGCAATTGTCTTCTTGTTATCTCCGCCGCTTTGCATATTTCGATGGCCTTCACCAACTACAAGTTTTTTGTTCGTAGCAATAGGTATGTCCTTGACCTGTATTCTTTTATTATTATTATTATAACATTTGATTAACTCGGCTATTGAATAAAAATTTGAATTGCGCATCTATTTCAAAATGATTATTATTAGAGTCTCTCCTATTACATTATTTAAACAATTTTTTCTATTAATTTAGGTACATCTTAAATCTGAAAAAATGTTGAAGTCACCAGGAGGTGAATGATAAACTGTTGCAATTACACACATTTTCCAGTTCAGCTCACTATATATAAATTTTAATATTCTATCAAATGTCTGCATTTATTAAACACGATTCATCATTTCCTTTAAATGGGCTATTAACACACAAGACAAAAACAGTGCTGCATGTATATCTTTTCATAAAAACTAGTAATCATTTCAGATTCAGCATTACATCTTAGATAAGGAGGTCAAATAGATATAAACTAAATTAGCTGATTCTATAAGCGCAATTAAAATGATAATAATATATTACACACACATTGTTTTTACATCATCAGCGCTTTATTGAATATTGACGGAAAAGGTCAAACAGTCATCAATAAATTATTACAGTACATTAATTAATCATTACATAGACTGCAATTTAGTACAACAAGAATTTTTTGTTGAAACACTCTGATTTTATAATGAAAGTTTTCTTTCTATTTGTTTTTTTTATGATAGGTTTAACGAACCCGCAGGGCGAATGGGCTAGTTATTCAAGTGAAAGAGCTGATCAGAAAATTTTACTCCATTGTGGCTTAATTAATAATTTTAGTACTCTGTTTTGAAGACACAAACACGTTCAAATTAAACAATTATTTGCAATTCGTCACTGGACACTGGTAGCTGATAGCAATACACATTTCCCCCCATTGGTTGTCTACTTTAAATATACAGCAAAACCTGTCTTAACGGACACCTCCAAATAGCGGACACCTCTAAATAACGGACATTCTGTTTAGAATCGATAATATTATACTTATAAAAAATTCTACTCAATATTTTTAATCCATTCAAAAAGAATCATTTTCCTCTCAAGAATTTTTTTTGAAATCTCAACTGTCAAAATAATTTTTATTAAGAAAGTTAATCTTTAACACTGTAAAAAACGCAATTATACTAGGTATTAGCATTTACGTTAAATGAAGGAACGTGAGATCATGCTCCTGCTGGTCCATTTCGTAAACAATTTATTATTCTGGAATGATATTCTTCGGTTACTGTGCAATAAGAAAGAAACTAGTTACTTTGATTTTGCACTGAATTTCGTTGCGCATTCGATTGAATTTTCATGCTAAATACCGCTCCTGGGTAGGACACCGTTTTCAAAAACATTTTTAGGAATGTTTTATTATTGTATTGTTACGAAATAAACCCATACGCCGCCCCGGTACGACGCCTATGGGTCTTCTACTATGTATGACTTTCTTCTAGTGTGTAGTATGACTCATCGATGACAGCGGCCGGTACTCACTAGAGAAAAGCCTGGAACCGGATGTCGCGACGCGCCCAGAAAACCCTCGAAGCGGCGTTCTGGATCCATCGAGAGAAACGTTATAGGTTTTAAATATAGGCCACCGTCGGGAACGTTTATTCAGAAAACGAATGAAGTCATCGCGTCGAGTCCAGCTAGTGTCCAGACAAGTTACGCCAGAGTTATTTTGTACATAATCGCTGCAATAGTTATTCGTGTAAAATCGAATAAGAACTAAGTTTTTGAGTTTACCTTACGTCGATTTTATTCGTCCGCTCACGGTAACAGCTTTGTAGTTTCAAGGAAATGATCGTAAAGGTTAGTGTTGTAAGGAAAATCCAAATTACCTGACCAAAGAGGTCTTAAAAGAACTGCGGGTCATTTCAAATTAGATCCCTCCAGCCATTGGGAGTTGGAACGTGCTTTAATAGAGATGGGGACTGCAGTGGAAAATAAATAAGTGCACACAAACCAGTGGCGTAACAAAAACGTCTTAAATATGTATAGTGATAGAGACGTAACTATAATTTCACTACACAGTGTCCACAAAAGAAACAATAGACAAAAAGTTCTTATCGAAAACCAGTCTAAATTAAAACAAAACAAAAAAGGACGCTGTTAACGTTATTAACGGCGGGCGGTTAAAAGTAGGTTGTAAATGGTACCAACCTTCGGCGTGAATGAATGCGTCCCTACGACGTGAATCCCTGCTAGAAAACTTATTATCGCGACATAACTTTTTAACTCGTTAAAAAAGGCACTGTTTAAATTTTGACATTCGAAAAACCGCCTGCATTTATTTTATCTTCTCCATTAAAAAAACCTAATAATACGTAAAAAAGTGACTAATCATTTCTGATTCAGCACTGCAGTAAGCATCGTAGATAAAAAGGTCAATTAGATATCAACCAAAACTAGTAGCTGAATGCAGCAACTCTTTCAAATATTCATCAGTTGTTGTTGTTTAAATGCGTATTACATTTTAGTTTAACACAAATGTATCATTTAAACAAATGTCTGTTACTTACATTTTTGATTATTTTGTCTGGTAAGGTTTTATAGTTAACAGTCAACGGTACACCAGTGTTTATTTTAAAATAAATTTTTCATTGATCTTAAAATATCATTTTTATTACCTGTTTCAGCAATTTTAACAAGATGCCACAAAACGTTTAACAATTTCCAAACGAGAATCCTACGGAACATAGAATCAGGGTACGTATAATACATTCAGTTACTAAATCCTAAATAACATATAGTTAGATGTTCCCTACCAGAGCATCCTCCATTCGGGAAATGGTCCGTTATCGGTTCTTCGGAAAAATGGTCACCTCACCAACTATTACCCTCAGGCAATTTTCTAGGAGTATCTTGTGTCGACGGTTACGTAATAGAAGGTTCCCCTTTTATGAATTGCATGAACAACAATAAATGGAGTAACGACATTGGTAGATGTTTAAGTAGATTTGCAACATATTTTGGTTTTCGTTGTAAAAAATTTAATTTCCAGAAAAATGTCCCCCACTTCAAAGTACTCCTCACCTGAATGTTAGATGTTACGACAAGACAGAAAGAAGCATAAACTGTTCTCAAGCAACCGATGGTTCAAGTGCAGAGATTCAGTGCGATCCCTTTTACGAAGTTTCGAGTATTGAAACAGATACGACAATCGCATGTTATGGGGGTACTTGGAACAGTAAAATTCCAGAGTGTGTTTTAGGTGAGTGTTGAAATTAATCTTGCAAAACTTTAAAAAATATGTTCTTTTAGCTTGTGGTAAAAATAAAGATTTAGACAATTCGATGATAATAGGCGGACGCGTTGCAAAAAAGGGGGCTTATCCTTGGCATGCAGCTATATACGATATCAAAACGAGTATACTCATATGCGGTGCAACACTAATACATCTGAGAGTTGTTTTAACAGGTATATTATTTAATCAGTCGTTTAAGTATTAAAATATTACAATTAAAGCTGCCCATTGTATAACAAAGGATGGTAGTTATTCCAAAAATGACTTTCTAATTGCTGTTGAAAAGTACCACCGGCAGTTGAATCACCCTGAAGACATTGACGCTCAGTTTTCTACTGTAAGTTTCG